ACACCACACCTGTACTTATCAGAAGTCTAATTCAAATTGCGTGACATGAGCTTAAGGGCGGATCTTTCGATGGAAAGGCAACTTATTGGAAAGAAAAATACAGAAAAAATAATGGTAGAGGTGGTCAGTGGTGCAGCAGTGAAGAAAAAACCATGAAAAACGCCCAGAACCGAGAAATGGGACCTCCTTCCTTGTCCGTTGATTCAGCATTGATGCGACTCTCATCGGTGTTACCCTCTTCAGCGCTGCTAAACGGCTAGAGGGTCAGACAGCGAGAGGGAGGTAAGTTGAAAAAGGAGTGCCTGAAGATTCTTCGGACGATTATGTCCAGCCTGTTCGTTCCAGTGGTCCAGTGGAATTTCCATCCTTCAATCCCGCCGTGAATTGATTGCCGAAGTACCGCTTCTTGGTGGAGTCAGGCCTAGCTCCGATTGCGCTCCATCGGGTTTTCTTCTTCGCCCATTTGTTTCGAGGCAGAAAGACTTCCCTCGCGTCTTCAGCGCAGTGGCCTGCTTGTTTCGAGCGGGGACCCCTGATTTGAAGAGGGTCTTCACAACGGCACGGGGTTCCACCCACTGTTTTGCAGTTGACTGAATAGCCAAATGGTAAGGTATATAGGTTGGATAGGTGAAGATGAACAGTTATTGTAGGATTGAACCGTCTGTAGGCACACCCTACAGCTTGAATAAGTGAACATTTGTCGGCCATTCGATCAAAACGTACAGAGCTGGCAGTGTTTATATAAATTTGGCAAAAATAAAAACAAAAAACATACCGATCACTCTGTCACAGGCTCATGTCAAGCTTTGTACAGCCACAATACTGGTGAGCAATCGATGCATGGTTTTGTGAAAGAGATCCCAAAATCAATTGTTTTGTATTGGACTTTCTTCTACACTACACTACTATTTCTTTGTGTGCATGGGTACGCAATTGTTTTTTCTCACGGGTTCCTTTTTTTACATAATGAAATTATACTTATCAATCTCAGAAAAGCGGACCCTGCCACCAGGCGGGACAAACGCTAAAGAAAAGAAGAATCTAATTAAATAGTGAGGATCGATGCATAGTTTTGTGAAAGAGATCCCAAAATCAATTGTTTTGTATTGGACTTTCTTTCTATAAGCACACTCTTCTTTGTGTGCATAGAGATACTCAATTGTTCTTCCTCACGGGTGCCTTTTGTGGACATTATGAACGTATACTTATTAATGTAAATGTAAATCGAAGGGATAGGAAATATTCTCTTTTGTTCTCGATGATTTCAAGAATCATCGCTTATCCAACACATGTAACCACAATTGCTTCCAAGTCGATCACTATGCTCAACTCGCCATGTTGCCAGTGTTCCATGTACCTGTTTCAGGTATGGTATCTGTGAAGAAGTTGAACAAATCCGTTATCGAGAAGGACAAGAAGAAAAAACCAAGAAGTTGAGAAAGAAAAAGCTGAAGTCTAAATGTGATGAGGTGACAAGGAAAAGGTTTTCACATAATTATGAGGGAAGCTTGACTGTGAATACTCGTCAATTAAACGTAACTGCCTAACCCAAATTCAAAAAATGTGCTTGTCCTATCTTTGGGAGGGAACCTCGCAATAGCGCTTGGGGAAATGCGTTTTTTTTTCAAAGATGAAATGCTGTTGAAGTTTGCTAGCCGAAGGAGAATAAAAATTCAATTAGGTACCTTTTCCACTGTATAAACACTTACTTGCCGCAGGGGGGGGGGTGGTTTGAAGTTCAGAGCGGTCGCTCACATACATAGTAGGCTATTGACCGAGATTAATTTGTTACCATATTTTTACGAGAAGCTAAAACATGCACTTAACCAACGGCTGGCCACGATTTTACAATTGTGTAGACAAAATTCTGCAGTCGTAATACTTCGTATAAGGATTGATTTCACTCAACCAGGATAGTACAGCATTGTAGACGAATGAGTGGACAAGTCCATCATCAGCGGCATCCAATGTCTTTTGGACTTTACAGGGCAGTCGAACGCGTGGCTTATTAACAAAATGATTTACATTTTCTCAAAGGGGTCTGTAGATGAAGGCGCTGACCATAACCTCAATTTTGACTTTGCTTTTCCAACGGACGCAGATTTCCCCATCAAAACCCATTCTGGTATTTGATACCATTTTGCAGTACTGTTTTTCAGGCGCTAGTAAATGGTGGTGATGAGGGCAATGATGTTGGAGAAATGATGGACGCTGAGGATGAGATAGGTAAGCAGGTAATCTTCGAATCGGTGAAGACTCATTGTCAGTTGAGGAGATGGAAAAGCATCAATCAATTGCTATTCAGCTATGTGCTGTAGTTTTACATGTAATTTTCCTTCATTTCCAGCCTCAGATGAAGAAAATGTTGTGAAGGCGGTTACAAGTGGAAACGCCGGCAAGAAGCATCTCAGTGATCTCCAGAAGTCAGTAATATGCTAAATATTCTCCATCACTGGCTGAGTATCTCTTCTGAACGTTTTGTTCAGGTTGAAGGAAAGCGATCCCGAGTTTTACAAATTTCTTCAACAGCAGGATGCAGATCTACTTCAATTTCATGCCTCTGATGAAGAGGATGAAGAGACTGAAGCTCATTTCGAAGATGGAGAAGAGGAGGATTTTCCTGATGAAGAGCGAGAAGGTAGACTATGGATTTCTTGTGTTTGTCTGTTTTACTCAAACTCTGTTTCATCAGATTCTGACGAGACCGGGAAGCATCTACCCAAGGCAAAAAAGGACAGCAGTGGACGGTTGATCTTTGACGGTCGAATGCTGGATCATTTACAAAGTGTGCTTGACCCGGAAGATCAGGTATCACTGTTAGATTTCTTTTTGATTGCTAGAAGAGATAGATCTAAAAAAGGAATGTTATAGAAGCGGCGGATTCAAGCGGAAGATGTCCGATTTGCAGTCGAGGCATTCAATGCTTGTGTTTCTCGCGTGGGTGCGGATATTGACTTGCCGAAGTACATCATCAACGAGCAGGTGGCTAAACCTCCTAATTAGATGATATAGTGGACCGAAAATATTTCTGTACTGCTACGATCAGCAACACAGTTTTGGTGGCTGATTACTAATGCTTAGTTCTAGTGAAAATAGTGCGGTCCCTGCCGAAGTATGGCTACGCAGTGGCATTATCCACTCTTTAATTGGCTTAGAGGTTTTACAATAGGGTCAAAGGTCGAAGAAGAGGAATTTACCTAGTGGAAAGACAGGCGGACCTCTAGGGTGCGGACCGACACGCAATTCGCAGCGAAGGATATGCCCCGGCGACCTAGCATGGCCGTCCCGCGGCGCTATCGACGCGGCACGCCCACCGACTGGCTAACCACTCGCCGCAGGTCTCCAGCCTTCAGCAGAGAAAGCGTAACTTGGAAGAGAGCAGCACCGATGAGAGTCGCATCAATGCGGAAACCAGTGGATAAGGGAGGGGTGCCATGTATTGGGTTCTGGGCCGCTTCTTCCGGCACCACTGACCACCTCGACCTTAATTTTGATGGGCTGCCTTCCGGCCGTAAGCTCGGTTTCAATATGAATTCCTGCTGGTAAGGTCTTCAGTCAGAAACCTATTTGTCTGGAATGTTAAAAACTTAACATGCTAGTAATTTATCATGAGTGTACAAATTTGAACTGTTGGAGGTTGGAGGTAAGCTCTGCCAGCACGCTATGGGAAGTACATTGAAAGTTTCCTGTTTGCTCTCTGATTATGTGGTCATGAGTTTCGATAATACTTTAAAATTGAATAAGTGGTTTGAATTCAAAGTTATTTTCATGCTCTTCCGTTCTTACTGTAGTCGTATTCCAGAGGGTCTTCGACGAGACGGTGCGGTTATGCTTTGAGAAACTTGGAGATGCTTTTACAACTCTAATCAGCGGTTCAGTAAGTTTTTTTCCTTGGCTGATTTTCATTGAAGATACCTTTCTGAAGCAAAAAAAAATCAGAAGCGGAAATCTCCCAATCTTTAGATTCAGTAATCAAATCATCTCAACCGATTCGTTTTTGTCATTTTCAGGCACAAGTGAAAACTGAGGAGCAGACTGACGAAGAAGTAAAACATCTAAAACTGAAGCATATCAAGAAATACCAGTCTCCGTTGAAGCAATATCTTTCCAGCATTTTGAAGGTGATGAAAATTTTGTACCCATTTTTCCCTGCGGCTTATTCATGGTCAAGTATGCTGAAGAGTGAAAACCGATTGTCATAAATATGCATTACACTGCTTGACCGCTTTCACGGTCAGCAGTGTAATGCATAAAACTGAAATGAGAGGGTTAAACATGGGAGGTGCATACCCGCCGTCGCTAGAATACTGCAATGGTGTTGAAATAGTACGGCAGGAGATGTGTATGTGGCAAACAGGGTGCAATCGTGTATGAGACGGTGGTCACATCAAGTACGACCCCCCTCCTCCGATTCGGGTCTTGATAGGACCCCCTAAAAACATTTGATTTGGATGATGAATAAACGAGAGTATATTATGTGTACTTCTATAAAGTGTGATAAAGCAAGCGGCGGTTGTCCTGGTCAGATTTTTGCTGAAACCGCACTGCCCCGCCGCTCAAAAACCCGTTGACAATCTACATTTCTCGCTGAAAAAGGTTCGCATTCCACCAATTCCATGAACGCCTTGCAGCAGTATGCTGGTATGGTTAGAAAGAGCTGGATATTGCTCACTACGGGCATATATTGAAATTGCATGTGAACAGGCTTCACACTCGAAAGATAGGTCTCTCCATTTTGTTGGCCAGCGTCGAGGATGCCCATTTTCATGCGAGTTTTTGCTACTTGAAAGGCAATATCTCTCTAATTTTGTAGGACCTTGAAAAAATGAAAAGACAGCTATAAAAAGCGTATGGTTTACGCTTTCCAACAGACTGTTTTGCTTTCTTCAACATTTTCTAGTTGAGGAGATATTTGCGTCGAGGATCTATCGAGGATTGATCTCGGCACCTAAAAGCCTCCTTCTTCACCATTGCAAGTTAATTCGTTGGCAACTCTCGAAATGTGTCTAGAATAAATTCTCCCAACGTAAGCGACAAGAAAAGGGGCAATCGTCATCGTCCGATCTCGTCTCAGTATAGGCCATGCATCCGACCTCCACTCAAGTTGTAGAATCTATTGAAAGGTGTTATACATAACATGTTGATAGAAGCTGTAACACATTTCAGAACTTCTATAGCCTAAGGAACAGCTTCGTTTGCCCAGAGTCTTGCTAGAACTATGGTCGTTTTTGCGACAGCATGCCTTCGAACCAGTCATCACTCCTCACGAAGTATTGAGAACGACGGGAGGCAGGGCAGTAATAGAGCATATTGCCTTTCAAACGTGACACATGTGGCCCCGTTTTGCGGAGACGGGTAGCACTTTCATTCTTTGTAACTACTTTTCTAAATACATCCTTTCCAGGTATGGCAGAATGGAGCGTACTGAGAACTGGCAAAGAATAATTAAATCAGTGTTCTTTTCTTCTTCACATATCCCTTGCTTTCTGCTGCGTTACACCCTCTCACCTCCTATCTGCACTACGATGCCACTGACGTTACTGACCCCCACGAGTACGACCCCCATGACCCACCCTGACAAGTAAGACCCCCTGTCGAGGATTTCCTCGACCGATATTACCCCTGGTTGCAAGTGGCGCTGCTTATCACGCCCACTGTCGGTTATCAGATACTGGGCGCACACCGTCTAGGCTGAGCAGGCTTTTCATCCATTCGAGATCGGTCAATTGCAAGCAGAACTGTTTGACTGGATAAAACCTGTGAGCATTGACCATCGAGTGGCCTCTGCAAGTCATTGTATAGACAGGGCAAATCGTATGCCAAATGTTACCGTGATTCTGGGCGCTAGCAGAATGCGCGGCGCATCAAAGAACAGACTGATCAATGTCGAATGCTCTATCTTTTATCTTTTGGATGTACAACAAGGTATGGTCACCTTAAAACAAGGAAGGTCGTTCAGGGTGTGCCAAGCTTTTGAAAATGGTTTCTTGCATGATATTGGGGCACATATGGGGAACCACAGAACCATGGTCATTTTTCCTGAACGGCCCTCTGAATACCAGAAAAGGGGTCCCTAGTTCGATTCCTCGTGGTGACAAATTTTGCATTTCGAGTTGACGTTTCCAAAATTCGCGCAAAATGGAGTTAGCATGAATAATCCCTACTATATATAATGCGCTAAGTCTGTCTGTCTGTCTGTCTGTCTGTCACGAAATTCCGTATTAAGCGGACAACAACCTACTGGGTCCAGGTCATGTTTGGGATGGGTGTACCATATCTCGAGAAGTAAAAAACATACATTACCTAAGCGGAGCCCCGCCCACAGTGGGCGTGGCGTGCGTCGAAATGAGTGGTACTGAGGACCATGATTTCAAATTCAGTCACAAAACAGCCTCGAGACCGGGACAAAAGTGGGCATAGGTGTGGGTTGGTAAGCCAGATTGAACTGAGGAGACCCACCCTCGGTGGGCGGGGCGTTCTCTAGAAAATGGGTGCTCAGTGAAAATATTCATAACTCGGTTAAGAGGAAGCCTACAGACCAGAAACGAAATTAGTGCAGGGGAGCAATGCCTAAGGTATTTCCACCACGCATGATGTGAACGGAGGCCCGCCCACAATGGGCGGAGCGTGTCGTGAAGCGGACAGCATTTTCTACAAGAGCTCATAAATCGGCTCCGAGATGACTTAGAGACCGGAAAACAACGGATACGCCAGAGGTGAAAGTAGGAGTAGAGGTTGAATGTGAACGCTGGGCGTGGCACACCCGGATGTGGGCGGAGTTTGCCACCGCTCTCATAACTCGGTTCCTAGAAGTTCCGGCGACCGGGGAAAATGTGCATAAGTATTGAGGTATGGAGTAGGGTTGAATGCCATTGTTGGGCTAAGCATGCACCAAAGTGGGCGGGGTCTGCCTCAGAAATTCGTGACTCATAACGCCATTTACAAGACCTCATAATTCGGCTCCGAGATGACTTAGAGACCTGAAAAAAATACGCCAGAGGTGAAAGTAGGAGTAGAGGTTGAATGTGAACGCTGGGCGTGGCACACCCGGATGTGGGCGGAGTTTGCGGCGTAAGTAAGATGTACCGAGCAGAAAGCTAAAATCAAGACAAAAATACTGATGGGCCCGATTTTACCGCTGCAGCCCCGTCTCATGCACGCGAATGCGTGCGCAGCCAAACTGGTTAGTACCATATTCATGATTAGGACCGTCAGTAACCCTTACAAATAGACTTTGATTGAAAAACTGGTGAAAAAGGTGTGACTAGGGACCCCCTTTTCTGGTATTCAGAGGGCCGTTCAGGAAAAATTAACCATGGTTCTGTGGTTCCCGCATGTGCCCTATATCATGCAAAAGACCGTTTTGAAAAAGCTTGGCACACCCTGAAAGACCTTCCTTGTAAGCGTCGGCGAAAACCGAGATGCTGTCAGCGCACCATGGAAAACCTTATATTGCGATGGCTAAGAGATCTGCTCCGTCCAGTTCTGCTCATTCCTTGAAGACAAGTGAATTATTGCCGCCAGGGGAGCTGCCCTAAGTTTAAGACTTTCTGCTGTTGTTGCTGCCGTGCCTGTTGAAATAAGGACTGGAAGATTGCAGCGGCGGAGTCCGGGATTCCAGTGGGTGCCCACAACATCTCTGACAGGAAAGGTGCGCGCAAATGAGAATGCTCTGATGTTGTAATGAATGGTCATTTCCCATTCTAGTATCCCCCTCCCCGGTACACGTTTAGAAATTTTATAATATTACACGTGCGTTGTTGGAATGCATCACATTGGTTGCAGGAACTTTTGGAACTCACTTCATCTTCTCAGTCTCGGATAGATCCATTCAGTGATTCCTTATTCTTTCCATTTTTTCACCTTTATTTTTCAGTTTGCAAATGAGGTTCAAACTTCCGATGTCATCATTTCAACGCTCAAAGCGATGCGCCGATTGGTTGATCTCTTCGCTCATTTCAAGAAGATTACAAAAAATCTCTGCAAGGTTTGTTTGATGAATCTAATCCATTAGCCACGGCTTTTCAAAGTGCGTTTTTAAGTGTACAGTTTTGGTGTGGTGTAGAGGTTGCACATCCAATTTTTTACGCTGGAAGTTTCCTTTTGACAATAATTTCAGGTGGAATTACTCATAGGGTTATGAAATGAGCTATACAACAGTCTATATTGAATTATGGTTTTTATCTATGCTTTGGAAGCAAAGGTTACTTCAGGTTTTGGTGCGAATTTGGTCCCGAAAAACTCTTGACTGCCGTGTAGGAGCTTATGTGTGCATGATGCAGCTCGTAAAATCTCATCCAGAACATTTTGTCAGCTTGTATAAGGTAAACCTACCAGAGATATGGTGTCAAGCTCTCTAGTCGCTCATTATTTTCTTACCTTACAGAACTGTTATCTCGGCTTTGTTACGAATTCTCGCGAAGTTACGGCTGAGACCTGGCCTCTTCTGCATTTTATGCACAGGTCAGCTTTCATTTCATTTGCTATACGGAAAAAATAAAGGAAAATCGCTCCACCGATTTCCTGCATTGAGGTGTATAGGGACGTTTAAATAGGCCATCAGTGCTTAACGAGGTTGTTAGGTAATGAAGCTAATTCTCCTCCGTTGTGATTACGTCCCAGCGCTGGCCAGTCGAGGAGTTGTTTATAGGCTATGACCATACGAACAAACATCTATAAGGCGAGAGGTGCTCATTTGCAAGTCACACTTTGGTATTACACTTTGTTAGAGTTAGCGCCAGGCCTTCCCCCTTGAAAGGGTACCTATTCCACTGGCTTGTGCAACTCAGTGCGCTGCAAATCCCGCATTTGAGAATTTGATTCGATGAATGGATATTGGAGATTTCGTAGGCAAACATTAGCGTCAGGCTCTTCCTCCTTGATCGTTTAGGCATATTCGTCAGCGGTTTCGAACGGACTGATGTGTCATGATTAGGATATCTTCTGCTCGAATATTGTAGTTGGCCACCTAATCACAGGGTCCATATACTCCTTATAAGTAGGTGCTAAAGCAGAAGGGGGAAGGTAGAATTTGAAATGAAAAATGAATAGAGCCTTGCTCAACCTTCTATGACAACCCAATTTTTCTCGCGTACGCCGCGTGCGACCGCGACCTTTTTCATTCCAAAGGGCGTCCTAATGGGCGCATCTACATACGGCAACAAGTCATCAGAAGAAATGGCAGTGGAGAGATTCTTGAGACTTTGTTTGCCTCAAACTTTTGGGGACTACCCTCATAGGAGGATTCCACGATATGATCAGCGGTCGAAGAAGCGGAAAACCTACTCAATGGAAAAACAGGCGGACCTTCTGAAGGTGCGGACGAACGCGAAATTCGGAGCGAAGTATATGCCCCCGGCGATCTAATATGGCCTTTGCGGCGCTATCGCCGCGGCACGCCCACACACTAACCACTCGCCGCAGGTCTCTAGCCGTTCAGCAGAGAGCGTTAGCGTTGAAGTACAATACCGATGAGAGTCGCATCGGTGCGGAAATCAACGAACAAGGAAGAGGTCTCATTTATCGGGGTCTGGACCACATATCTCATGGTTTTTTCTCTTCTTCCTGCACCATTAACCACATTTACCTTGACTTGTAGTCGCCTGCCTTTCCATCATAAACACCGTCTTCAAATAGAAGAGAGCTCACTCAGTTCAGTCCAAGAGTATTTGCAGGCAGGCTCGAAAATTTCATTTTTCCACTCCCAGAATCCTTATATGGAGCTGGATGTGGAGCTCTTTTTGCTGAAAGTAGTATCAGTGCGCTGGCTAACTGCAAGCCAAAAGCCAAGTCAATGTGTTTATATTTTGCGCTTATTTTGGGAGTAGGTCCGTTGGCGTATTAACGGGAGCTAGGACCTGAGCAGACGACGCATGCGAC